GCTCTTCTTCTTCTTCTTCTTCCCATCAGCCTTTGCACCACAAAATTTTTCTACTATTGTTATTCTCCTTCAATTCTTTTCCGGATTTCAATGGTTAACTAAGGATTTGAAAAATAAAAGTCACCATTACAAGTTGTTCGAAGATTCGATTTCAGAAATTGAGTTTTCTGATTTTGTTAGTTGTTTGGAATGGGTGTTGTCTCAATTGATTGGAATCATCAAGATGAGTTCAAAACTTAAATTTCAAGTGATTTGGAGTAGATTTAGGCTATATTTGAGTTAAATTTCAGAAATTGAGTTTTCCGACTTGTTAGTTGTTTGAAATGGGTGTTGTCTCAATTGATTGGAATCATCAAGATTAGTTCAAAACTTAAATTTCAAGTGATTTGGAGTAGCTTTAGGCTATATTTGAGTTAAATTTAGAGGATGCCCAAGGAAGAAGAAGAAGAAGAACACGTGAAACTCCATTGATAGGATTCATTTGTATAATATTGTATAAATAGTATATAATAGTGTATAAACACAACTTATACACTATTATATCCAAGGTTGATACATTATTTACAGGTATTTGGTGAATTTCTCGCATTTTCTTCTTCTTCTTCTTCTTCTTCTTCTTCTTCTTCTTCTTCTTCTTCTTCTTCTTCTTCTTCTTCTTCTTCTTCTTCTTCTTCTTCTTCTTCTTCTTCTTATACACCTATATACATAGTATATCAAGAATATTTTCACTCTGTGATTATACATCTTTATACACTTTTATACAACTATATACATACTGTACCTATTTGTATAAAAGTGTATAACATTGTATAAAAGTGTATAAGCATCGCTGACGAAATTTTTGTACGATTTTCATTTGCAATTCTTATATAAAACTAGTCCAAATCTCCAGTAAATAACTCCAAACTTTGTATACAACCTACTTAGACTATTTCTAATAAGTTCAAACAACACCCACTCCAAATTTCTCACACAATCATAATCGAAATTTAACAAGATTAGCATCAAAGGAGATGAGATTTTAGGTTTCTTGCGTCTGTTTTTGCGTTTTGCAGTTGTGATAGGTATGTATAAACCTGAAGATATACAAAAAAATTTAAAAAAAAAAAAAAAGAAGAGAAGTATATGTAATGGAAGAAGGCACGACTGAGTGTTGACTGAATGGGGAACTAATTTTTCTTTTTAGTTTTGTTTGCATATGATTCTTTTTCATTAATTAAATTAAATATTTGGGTGAAAAATGAGGAGAGAGCTACAATAGGGGTAGGTAGGAATAAATAAGGTTGTTATAATTAGAGAAAATGAGAAAAGAAAAGATCTTATTGATATTTGGTTACACATTTGCAAACTTGTAATTGGGCTAAAATAGTGCAAGGTCAACTTATGGAGTGCATTATTCTGTAATTTTCTCTAAAATGACAGCTCATTTGGATGGTTGTTGCCCATTGTATCGAATTATATTGTTACCCCAAAATAATGTTTATTTTGATTGTTCAGTTAAAATTGGTTGTATTGTATTGTTAGATCCATTTTCCGGAACAATAAAAAATCTTATATTTTGAAACAACCGATTTGGTGTGGTGAAATTGTTTCCTATTTTTCTTTCCCATTATGCCCTAACTCATTACTTTATAATTCTATTTGCCCTTTATTATTTTTTATTTAATCTAAATATCCTAACTTATAACCTACATCTTCATTCCTCTTTTCCTTCTGCCGCTTCCAACTCCAACGTCAGATATAGGTTTTGCCTTCTTTTTATTTTGTTCTTTCTTCTACTTTAATTTTTAACTCCAATTCTGATTATTTTATCGCCAATTAGCTGTGTAATATTAATTTTTAATTCCAGTTCTAATTATTTTATGTGTAATTCTTGATAATATTTAAAACAATTGAGAGTATTTCAGCAAAATTATCAGCTACAGTACAATATAGTCAAACTAAACAGCAAAATGTTATTTGACAATATCAAACAATACAATATATCAGAACATAGTATTCATAAAACGATACAATACAATATCATACAATACGATACATTATAAAATGATGGTAACAATTATCCAAACAGAATGTCATATAATCTAAAATGGTATCATTCTAACTTATGATAGTTAAGTGACTTAATGAGGAATATATATATATTGCTAACAATCGCTAAGTACTTGAAATACATGTGCAAACACACTTGCCATCCGTCAATTGATTTAGTATTGCAAGACTAAATTCCAAAGCAATAACAATGACTTACATACCTTACTAGGCGCAGCAAAAATTATTGTAATTGCTGTGAAGATAATTGATCACGCCCAACTATGCCTTATAAAAAGGACTCTGCGGACGTTGTAAATATAACCCGAGTATTACGCCCAGGGTCGAATCCACAGAGAGTTAACCTATCAACCACTATCTTCAGACCCACTAATTCTTCAGAACCAGCTTCCCAAATATTCAAATCTCAGTTGAGTGTTCTTTAACAACTAGCTTGCAAGTAACTAAATAGCTGTAAACTAAACTAATAAGGTTGTAAACAATTATGAGAAAAATGCTAAGGCAATGATTTCCCCTATTGATGGAATCCCTTCTGTTTATGCTCATACAATTTACCAACACATCTCTATCAATCATGAACACTAATCTTACCGTAAATCTCTCCCGAGTAATCACAGTAATTTACTATTGCACTCTCCCGAGATACACTAGCTTACTTTATTTAGCACGATTCACTTTAGATTACACCCAAGGCTTCGTTATCCCTAATCCCGCCTTTAAACCCGCAATTATAGATTCCTCTAATAATCTAGGAGTGGTGTTGTTCAACAATACCCTAAATATGCACTCTTTTCCAAGTTATGCACACTAAATAGGCATAGCTAATTGAGGATCCTGTCAATTAACTACAACAGACACGAAGGTGAACAAATAGAGATTAAACTAGCAATTTGTATTCACATAAACAAGAAGTTCATCGCCCAATAGGTTCCATCAAAACCTTAGACAAGGAATTAGCTACTCATGGCTATGGGAAAAGAAACTAAGATTGAATTCATCATAAAAATCAAAAGAAAAGAAGAAAGATGTTTAGAGTATTCTCTCACAATGGTTTTCCTTGCTAAGAAACCTTAAAAATCAATACATGCCTCTCTTGGGCGAAGTCTAATGTTTTAAATAGGGTTTAGGTCTAAAAATCCCGTGTTTTACACTTTGGTCCCTGAAGTTTTCGGCTTCCGCCGCGGTTCTGCCGCGGTCGCGGTCAGACCGCGGCCAAAAGCCGTCTCTGATTCTGAAATCATCCGCAGCTGTCTTCCACCGCGGTCGCGGTGGAACCGCGGTCAAACCTGTGCTCTGAATCTTCGGCCTGTTTTGCATGGTTCACTTGGGAAATTTCACAGTTGGCCTCTTTTTTCATCAATTTTGACTCCAAAACTGCTCCTTAGCCTTCCTTATACATATATCACCTGCAAATCATGAAAAGCACTAATAAGAGCATTTTGTTATCACTTTTAGCATTAAAACTACACAAGAAGGTGATTATTTAAGGCGTAATTATAGTCAAATTCACCTATTATCAATAATTGCGCCAAGTTTACTTTGCCTCTCTTGAAATCGAAATTCTGATTCGCAAATTAGATGCCTTATTTTCTTTTGCAATGTTTTTCTTTTTCAAAGGGAGAATCCGGTGAGCAATTTCTCTCTTGAACGAGAGATTTTAAAGAAGAGAAGTTTGTCAGGAAAACTACCGATGGAATCAATTGATCCACGCTAGTTTTTTAGGAGTTAAGAAACTTCCTTATATAACCTCCTTCAAGTTTATCTCCTCTAAACGGGTCGGCTAATCCAATAAGTACGGGAAGAAATTCAAAAATAATCAAATTTACAAGTGGTCATTTAAAAATTGCCACCACTTTTCATGTAAAGATAAATCTGAACGAAAACACTGTTCAAAATCCGGAAAATACTCCAGTATAATATACTGGAGTTCCGGCATAACTATACTAGATTTCCAGTATAATATATCGGTCCAGTATATTATACTGGAACTTTCCGCGTGTTGGAGTTCCAGCATAATATGCTGGAAGTTCATACACAGGTGCACCGGTCTCCAGTATATTATGCTGGAACTTTCCGTGTTGCAGCAAAATAGTGGCTATTTTTCAATGACTTTGCAAACGCTGCTATTTTTGAATGACTAGTCCGAAAACTGACTAGCCTGTGCTATTTTTACATAAGTGACCCCTGATCTAATCCAATATTCGATGGGTATAAACATCATATGTGTTATGAACCAAGATATTGGGCCAAGAAGAATTATTGGGCCGAGAAGAAGCCACAGGGCCAGAAGGCCTTCGAAAAGGTTAATTTGGGATCTGGGTCCAAGAAGTGCAATCACGAATCGATTAAAAGGGACTAGGCGATAGCATGGACACGTTAGGCTGAATTTTGTAGAAACTTCTCCTCTCTAATCTCTCTCCCTCTGACTATTTCTCTCTGTGGCTCTGTCTATCCCATCCCCGTTCTTTTTGTTACTTAGTTATTGTTACTTTTCAGTCCGCTATTTCTGTATTGGGTCGTGGATATTGGATCCATAACATTGGTGCTTTCATTGACTTGTCTACCATGGTAGACCCCAACATCCAACATTCTTGTTTTGGTTTGTATTCGTCCATGGAAGCTACATCGGTCATCGGTCACAATACCCAGATTCAACGGCGATAACCCTAAGGCATGGGTATTCCAGGTAGAACAGTATTTCACCCGCTATAGTATTTCTTCTGATCATAAATTGTCGTTGGCTTCTTTATATTTGGATGGCGAGGCTTTGGATTGGTATTGTTGATTATATCGAAACAAACAGCTTGCGGATTGGACCACTTTGTAGCCAAATTGTTTATTCGTTTTCGAAATCGGGATGCACCTAAGGGGCGTTTGGCCTTTCTCCGACAACTTACAAAGTAGACTATTATCCGACACGAGGTGCGGCTATTTCGCCGCTGTGCACTATGGCCAACTCCCTTTTGCCCCAATCTTGGAATGCACAATCATACTACAACAACTTCAACCTTGCCCACAAGGTGTTTGGTGCAAAGTCGGATACGAATACTGATAATGTTGTAGATGTTGAAACAATGCTACCAACACCAGATGCTGTGAAACCGGAGGGTTTGTGACGAGAATGCATCAATAGCAATTGAAAATGACAGTGCTGGAATTTTGGCAACTCAAGCGAAAGAGGAGATCTGTCACTCGGATTTAGATGAAAATAGAGAGAATGCCGACTTCCCTTTGCCACAATACTTTGTTGAGCCATCTGTATACAACAACAATGAGGCGCACAAGGTGTTCGTGGAATTCGGTCTAAAGCCGCTATTCTGGATACTATTGAGGCACATTTTCCTAATGATCCCGAGTGTCATGTCGCTCTAAGTGATAAGGCAAATGACTGTGCTAATGCTGTTGAAAATAAAGACAAAAATGAGGAAGAGAAAGTTGTTACTATTGGAAAAGAAATACTGCAATTTGTTCCTGCAATGATAGTGAAACCTTCATCATGGATTGGTTCTACATTTTCTTGTTCTGGTGACCTTGTCATGTTTAATTCTCAACATGGACTTGCGCTAGCCCAATGCTTGAAGGAGATGTCGTGTGTACTTTTAAATTGTAATTGCGACCAACTTATAAAAAGAGGTATATTTAGCTAGCGTTTGACCATAGATCCCAAAATTATTTTGAAAAATCTGATTTGGGTGAAGTTTGGTTTGAAGTTGAAAATGTGTTTGGACATACGTCTTCAAAACATATTTTCCAACTTTATTTTGGAAAAACATGTATATAATTTCCAAGTTTAGGGATTTTGGCCCAAAATCAGCTCAATAGCTGATTTTGGAATTTGGGATTTGTCCAAAATATGGGCAAAATTTATGGCCAAACATGAGTTTTGAAAATAAATCCCAAATTTATTTTGGCAAAACTCATAACCAAACAGGGCCTTAATCACTTCAGTGGACTTAGTTATGTTGCACGTATCTTAACTTTGCACCTTGTCATGTGAATACAACATTTGATAGAGACTCTACTGTGTCCAGGACGGATTTTATTTGGGCATCCTTTTCTATGACACAAATCAACATAACTACCATTGTTCTTTCAAAAGAATGCCCTCTCTCGAACTTTGAGGACACACAACTACAAATTCGGTAAAAATCGACCAACATTGGTCAGTTATGGCCAATTACTGGCCAAAACATTTACCGACCAACTTTGGTCGGAAATATATTTTAATAATTTAATTTTACCGATCAAAGTTTGTCGGTGTATTTGAATTATATTTTTTTATTAACTATTAAATTTAAAAAAATACCAATCAAAGTTGGTCGGTAAATGAAAATATATATATTTTTTAAAAAAATTAAAATTTAACAATACCGACTAAAGTTGGTTGGTAATGTTGAATTCTGGGAATTCCTTGTTCTTTAACCGACCAACTTTGGTCGGTAATTATAAATTTTTTATTTTTTTAACGATTACCGACCAACTTTGATCGGTAATTTGCAGAAAAATATTTTTTTTAGTAGAAACCGACCAACTTTGGTCGGTTTTCTGGGTTTTAATTTTGGCATAAAATGCCTGTTTTGGAAGCTACACCACCTGTCAGCATACCAACACACCTAATAGCAACATACAACAACAACAACAACAACAATCAATAAATACATTAAAACTAACTAATTAAAGTTCAATTGAACATAAATATCCAAAACCAAGTTAAAACTTATTACAACTAGTTCAAAACTGGTTCTATTTGTCTAGTTCAAAATATATAAAAGTCAAGGAGTATTTTCTATAACATCATCATCACCGTCTGATGAACTTTCGTCTACAAGACGGTATAGAGAAGGGTCTTGTGGAGGACGGGAAGAACGATCATGGGGAGGACGGGAGGAACGATCAGGTGCAGGTCGAGCCTCTGGCGATGACCCACGAGACCGGGGCAACGAAAAAGCTCCAGTAGATAGGAGAGTTCTGATCTGAGCTTGCATAACAAGGAATTGAGCATCTCTAACCCTTTCTCTTTCCTTGGCCGCTTCTAGCTCGGATACGAGCTTTGTCACAGTCTCCTGCATAGCGGAGAGGCTCTCCCTATTAAGTTGCTTGCCTTGCAAGGAAGTCCCTATTCCTTGGATTCCACATTTATAGCGATGGAACTTTTTAGTAGGAAGCCCGTATACCTTCCCCCATTTTGGACCGCCAGCAGACTCCATCCATATTCTTTCAGCATCCTCGTCCGAAGGTTGGGTTGGCTCGCCCGATTCACCAGCTGGCTGAGTGCGGATGAATTCCTCCACGTTAGTTTGGTAGCGACCCTATATGAAAGTTTAAATTGAATTAGTATTTCAAAATTTATATAAAAGTAAATTAAAATACTTAAAGAAAAGTGAAAGCTTACATATACATTCGAGGCCCGGTCCTCGACCCACCTTTCTTGAACCGTCTCTTTCTTCTTCTTTACAATATGCGTCTCCTTCAATAGCTCATCATGGTTCATTGGACGCCCCAACTTCTTTTTCTGAAAATAAATTAATTTAGTTAATAAACATAATAGATATACTTTGAAAATTAAAATAATTTAAGCAATTACGTACCAATCTTCTTTTTATTGTCCCTAGGCTGATCGCACCTCTAATGTGCAAGGAGCCTCCCTTCTCAGATGCACGAGCTTTCTTTCCTTTTTCGCTCTTCTCTAAGAACTTTGCGGTAAGCCATTGCCTTTGCAATCATCCCATAAATTTTGAAGTAACCAGTCAGGCTTCTTGTTCTTCTTTCTAGCATCGGAGAAAGCATCCGACAATCGCCTGCGAGTTTTTTGATGAAAATTTGCAGCCACTTCCGTGCTATAGCGGTGTTCCCATACACACTTCTGTATTTCAAAAGTTAATTATTATATGGAAATATCATAAGTATAAATTATTAAACTGCTTAAAAGAACATATATACCTTAAATTGATTGAAAATTTGCTCCTTCAGCGAGAATGAAAAATCAACCAAAGTCGCATAAGGGCCATCATAAAGCTTTATGATGGCTTTGGTGATTATCCTCGTAGTCTTATTACTTGAATGAACCTGCAATTTAATTATAAAACACATTAATATCTTAGTAGAAACGTTACAAAAAAAATAAACGCAAAATAATAAATAACTCTTACCCATCACCCTCAGGGACTATGATGATCCTGTCATATTGATCATAATGCACTTCCTCATCATCATCATCATCGTCGTCCGAAGTATGTGTATCAGAGGCATGTGTGGACGGTGTAGGGGGGCCAAAGCTACTACCTCGCAGGCGAAGGCTTGAAATAGATGGAGTCGCTGATGAAGATGGTTGCGATCCCTGTCATTGCGACATATCTGGATGGACCCCAAGTGGCTATGATACTGATTGTTGTGACCCGAGTGGGTGTGACATGGGTGGATGCGATCCATGTGGCTGTGATATGCAGGAATGCGATATGGATAGCTGCGATGCAGATGGCTGCGATCCACGTGGTCGTGAGGCAACTAGACTGTATGTCGGGCGTATAGTCCTATGGCCCTATGATGAAAGACCTGGTGTCTGGATGAAGGTGTAGGGCTCGTGATCCTATGGCAGCTCAATACAACCGTGGGGTGGAGGATAAGACATAGGCATCTCTGAAGAGGGTGAAAAAGAGGGAGTATTATTATCTACCATCCTCTTTCCCTTCTAAGCCTTTTCTCGACCCCGAGAACCAATAGGGTCATTGTTACCTTGACCCTTGCCTGCCATCTGAATATAATACATATTTAGATTGAAACATATAAGAAACTAGCTATAAAACGAGAGTGCAGAACTCATCGACGCATGTAACCTCTTTAACCTAGGTATAAGAGATAAATAGTGCATCGCCTTGATAGCGACCATATTCCCGCTGTACAGCCTCTTGAAACGAGGCTTTTTGCAAAATTTACAACTGTCTAAAGTTGCATCATCTTTATAATATAACATGCAACCATCTTCACAACAATCAATTCTCATTGACGAAAGTCCTAACTTAGAAACAAATCTCTTTGCCTTGTAGCAATCACCAAGTAATTTGATATTAGGGTCAACTAGTTCACTCATAAGGTCAATGAAAGAGTCCATGGCTGCTTGAGAAATATTCCAATCAGATTTGATACTTAGTAATCTAACTGCAACAGACGGCTCAGAGTGCGGACTTCCTTTACGTAGTGGACGACTAGCTTCCTCTAACTGTTCATAAAAACATTTTACGTCATTATTAGGAGTTTGTTCAACATTTTCATTGGGCTCACCCCCGAAGTGCATCCCAAAAGCATCTGCAACCATATCCTGAATTCTAGAATCAAGATTTGTATTCTCCACCGACCTACTACTTTCACCAACAACCATGTTATGAAATATCCCACGGCTACTATCTATATCTCCATGATTAGTCCACAAAAAGTAATTCTCTATAAACCCCTTCCTATAAAGATGAAGCTTAACTCCTCCGATTTTACAAACTTCATACAGTCGCACCTGACACAAGGGCACCTAATTACTCCTTCACTTTGGTATGGTGGAAGTGACATTGCATGTCTAATAAAGTCATCAACCCTTTCTACAAAATCCCCCCGCAATCCCCGCCGATTAGGATAATTTCTATTGTACATCCAAGTACGATGTTCCATCTATACAAATAAAATAAGAACAAATTAATTTAGTTAATTCATATCCTACTCTTTTTTTATTCAATTCATATCCAAAAGGTCCAATTCATATCCTAAAATTTCAATTTATAAACTAAAATTTCAATTTATAAACTAAAAGTTCAATTCATATCCAAAAGGTCCAATTCATATCCTAAACGTTCAATTCATAAACTAAAAGTTCAATTCATATCCAAAAAGTTCAATTCATAAACTAAAAATTTCAATTCATATCCAAAAGGTCCAGTTCATATCCAAAAAGTTCAATTCATAAACTAAAAATTTCAATTCATATCCAAAAGGTCCAATTCATATCTAAAAAGTTCAATTCATAAACTAAAAATTCGATTCATATCCTAAAAGTTCAATTCATAAACTTGTCACGACCCTAAAACTGACCCGATCGTGATGGCGCTTATCGTGAAACTAGGCCAGCCGACACAACTCCCGAATTAACCATTTAATCAATAACAATCACTTTTAAGCCTTTAATTAATCAGATATATCATAATGTAAGTCTACATGAACAGTGCGGAATAAATACACAAGCCCGACATCGGGGTGTCACAAGTCACGAGCATTTACTAAGGTCTGAACACAACTAAGAATCAAAAATATACTAAATACAGTCTAAGGAAGACAAGAGGGAGAAAAGCAGTGCTGCGAACATCGGGCAGCCAGCTTGCTAACTCCAATGACTCCGCCACTGAGCAATCAACACCCTCTACTGGGTTCAGAACTACTTGAATCTGCACACAAGGTGCAGGGAGTAATGTGAGTACGCCAACTTAGTAAGTAATAAAAATAAATGAAAGCTGAGCAGTAAGAAAACACGTAAGCCACGTCATAACGCTATAGCAAGTACAGTACATTTCCAAAATAGTACAGAAATTATTTACTACGTAAATCAAGCTCAGTTTCAGTAAAACCTTTTAAAACAACTTTCAGTAGTTTCAAACGAGTGATAAAAACTGTGAGTAAAAATGATAGAATAGTAAACAGCCCCTCGGGCGAAATATGTACCATAAACTGCCCCTCGGGCATATGTCAACAGAACTAGCCCCTCGGGCTACCTCACAATCACTCGTAATCAGCCCCTCGGGCATAACATGAATCAAAACTTCCCCTCAGGCAACATGGATCAAGAACAACCCCTCGGGCTGTAACACATCACACACACTGGGTACCCGCGCTCACTTGGGGTGTACAGACTCCGGGAGGGGCCCCTTACGGCCCGAGCGCAATATCAAGCCATCTTGTGGCATAATCAAATAGGCTCTCGACCTCATATCAATCACAAGCCACCTCGTGGCATAATAAATCAGGCCCTCGGCCTCTCATATATCACAAATCAATACCACATGCTGCGGCGTGCAGCCCGATCCCATGATATCCTCACAACACAGGCCCTCGGCCTCACTCAATCTGATCTCACTCAAGCCCCTCGGACTGACACTAAAACAAGTACCCAGCTCAAAATCATTTATGAAATCAAAAGGAGTGAATAAAACTAAGTTATCAAAACAGTAAGAACATAGCATGACTAAGTGTAAACATTAAACCAAAACAGTGAGGTAAAACAGTAGTAAAAGCCCCTAAGGGTCCAAACAATCGGCACAGGGCCCAGACACAGCATTTATCCCCAAGCACAATAATATTTTACAAAATATAACAACATCGAATAGTTTTTAAGTAAAATACGCAACTTAATAGTTGTACGGGATGGACCAAGTCACAATCCCCAACGGTGCACGACCCCACGCTCGTCATCTAGCGTGTGCGTCACCTCAAAGTAGCACAACAATGTGAAATCCGGGGTTTCATACCCTCATAACAGTATTTACAATCACTACTTACCTCAATCCAGATGAAATTCTACTCCGCAATGCCCTTGCCGCTCGACTCGGCCTCCAAATGCTCCGAATCTAACCAAAAACAGTACCATACCATCAAAATATGCTAAGGGAGCAAAGCCCGCTCGAAAATAACCAATTTACATCAAGAATCCCAAGATTGACCAAACCCGACTCTGGGCCCACGTCTCGGAATCCGATAAAAATCACATCAATAGAATCCTTATCCTCTCACGAGTTCGTACATGCCAAGAACATCGAAATCGGACCTCAATCCCCAAAAGAAATTCTCAAACTTTTCCTCCATTTTACCCAAATTCCTACTCTAATTTCTCTAATTAAATGATGAAATTCAAGACTAAATCATGGAATTAAATCAAATATGAGTGAAGAATGCTTACCCCAATTGCTCCACTGAAAATCTCCTCAAATTTCACATTCTCCCATGCTCTCTAATGGAATTTCGAAATTATGGACCAAACCCTCGTTTTAGAACTTAATATTCTGCCCAGACATTTTTCCTTAATCGCGATCGCGGAAACATCCTCGCGATCGCGAAGAACATTTTTGCTGCCTCAATATTTTACTCTACGCGACCGCGTTAATCCACACGCGAACGCGTTGCATAGATTTCCTCGAGCTGCACGATAGCGCTTGACTCTACGCGAACGCGATGGGTAACACCTGATTCCTTTACCGCCTTATTTCTTCTATGCGGACGCGGCCTGGCCCACGCGTTCGCGTTGCACAACTTGACTGACCTACGCGATCGTGTTTCTTTCTCTGCGAATGCGAAGGGTTGACCCAGCTGGCCTCTCATTTGCCTTACGCGATCACGAACCTCCTCCCGCGATCGCGATGAAGAACGTACTAGTTGCAGAACACCAGCAAACCAGCAACTCCTTAAGTCCAAAAATTGACCCGTTGAGCATCCGAAACTCACCCGAGGCCCCCGGGACCTCAACCAAGCATGCCAACACATCCCATAACATCATTCAAACTTGTTCCAATCTTCGGAACGCTTAAAACAATAGCAAAACACCAAATTTACATCGGATTCAAGCCTAAGCATTCCAAAAACTTCCAAATTCTGCTTTCAATCAAAAGTCTATCAAACCTCGTCCGAATGGCCTGAAATTTTGCACACACGTCACAAATGACACAACAAACCTACTGCAACTTTCGGAATTCCATTCCGACCCCTATATCAAAATCTCACCTATCAACCGGAAAACGCCAAAATTCCAATTTCGCCAATTCAAGCCTAAATCTACTCCGGACCTCCAAAACACATTCTGATCACGCTCCTAAGTCCCAAATCACCTAACGGAGCTAACCAAATCATAAAAATTCCAATCTGAGGTCATATACTAACAAGTCAAAACTTGGTCAACCTTTCAAATTTTAAGCTTCAAACTGAGAACCGTTCTTCCAAATTTATTCTGATTATCCTGAAAACCAAAACCGATGATTTACATAAGTCATAATACATCACACGGGGATAGTCATGCCCGAGAACCGGAGAGCGAAGTGCAAAAGCTCAAAACGACCGGTCGGGTCATTACATCCTCCCCCACTTAAACATACGTTTGTCATCGAACGTGCCCATAGTTGTTCCAAAAGCCAACAAGTCGCTTTATGACCTTACCATGCAGATACGCGGGGGTGATCCCACGTCACCCTACCTCATATAGGTCCGATAGCACAATGTAACCGCAATTCCACAATCTAACCTAGCCCATAGACCTTAGAACCACATTTTCACTTTTAAAATCATCTACAAGATCAGAATCTCACATTTATACTCTGAATAAGCCTGAACAAGCTGTAATAACCCATACCTACAACCTCAGGTGCAATTGCATGACATACCACATAACTCAAACACTTGTAGCGATAACTTCTAATCACAGCAGTTGCTCAAAACATCCGAATTTCGATAATAAGCCTTTTATCAAATAAAGCCTCATTCCAACACTTCCGTATACTACCAATGATAAATGAAAAACATAGGAAGCCCTAACCATTCCTCAGACCAACCA